CACACACACACATATATATATATATAATATATATATATATATATATATATACACACACACACACACACACACACACACATATATATAGATATTGCCGTTTATTCCAGATTCGTCCTCATCACCTTTCTCTGTATTCGGGATCACAGAGTATGATCGTCTGTGTGCGCCTAGTCGTACTACCGCAGCAATCTGTGGTTTTAGAGTTTTAGTAGTGTAGACATGAAATATATCTCGCATTCGATACGTACTCTCTGCGGAACAAGCCACCAAAAGGCTCAGTTTGATATACAATACTCATGCGTGTAAGTGTGAATAGTTAGGTGTATATGTATACCTGTAGTTCACAGGCATGTACACGTCTCGCACTCATCCGAATCATTGCTCATCGCGTGCGATCACCATCTCTACACGCGTGCATAGTGGGGGCACCGAACAACGACAGTATCAAGAAAGGGTTCGCCGCAACTCCGGCAGCCAATAAGAAGAAAGCGATTGACTTCCTACAGGATATAGTGCTCTCCCACTTGTCCTTCAATACATCAACACAAGGTACTTGCGTGTGTGTACACATTTGCATTGCTTATGTGTGTAAGGTACGGCCTATCGGCCGGTATAAGCTCATGCACGACTGTCTGTCTCCGGCGAGGTGGGCTTATTCCGTCATATGTGAGATTTTAATGCCTACTTCATTCCTACTTCACGGGAAGGGTATATGCACAGGTGCTACTGCGTGCGAATGCGCTTATGCTGTCACGTGTGCGATTGTAATGTATTGTCTCTGTCCTTGTCCTCACGTCACAGTCAAGCAAGTAGCAAATACGCTTTTCGGCCAATCTGTGCGGGCGAGCGTATCCTGCCACATGATTGGTGTTGAACGCCTACCCTATTCTCATTTATATACAGTACATACATTCTCATTTATTTACAGTACATCCATTCTCATCTATATACAGTACATCCATTCTCGTTTATATACAGTACATCCACTCATACACTGACAGAAATCAATTTCAGATTGTCTACGACGACTTCGTTATTTTGTCATTTGAGCGTGTTTTGTCATATGTGCGATTCTAATGCCTACGGTATTCTCATATATGTACTTTGCATCCGCCCATCTACAGACAGATAGCAGGCAAAAGTATAGTACTGCAACTCGATGTAGGGGAGCGTATTCCGTTATATGTGCGACGCAAATGCCTACTTCAAACACATACATACACCGTGTATCCACCACCCACTTACCCACATACCACACACACGCTTAGGCCCATGTATATATATCTTACACCCGCCCACCGTATATCCACCCACTACACACAACAAACACGCGTAGGTCCATGCATATTACCTTGCACCCACCCACCGTATATCCACCCGCCCACACACAACAAACACGCGTATGCTCATGCACATACCCCCCACCCACCCACCTCCCCACAGACCAAAAGCAGGCGCAGGTCTTGTACTGCGACTCTGTGTGGGTGAGCGTCTTCCGTCTGCTGCAGGTGCTGTACCTGCGCCTGTGCGAAGCCAAGCGCCTGTGTCACCTGGCCAGTGAAGGGAAGGTCTACAGCACCCTCACACTCGCACCCCCCACCCCCCGCCACCCACCCCCTCTGGAGAACACCCAGACACTCACCACAACAGCTGTCAGTGCCAATGCGAATGCCAAGAGCGTCAGCAGTGGCAGCGCTACCCCCCGCACGGCTACGCCCAATGGCACCAGCACAGCCCCTGTCTCTAGGAACGGGTCCAAGCCTGCGTCTCCCGGCCCACCCAGTATGTTCGGTGGAGTGTATGCTGGGTTTTCCGAGTTTGTCTACACCAAGTATCGTATGTTCGGTGGTGTGTGTGGGATGTTTAGTGTAGTGGTTGGTAGGTCTAGCGGAGTGTCCTCTGTGTTTGTTGATTGTTGGAGTGTTTGAGTATCCGTAGTGGTGTGTGTGGGATGTTTAGTGTAGTGGTTGGTAGGGCTAGTGGAGTGTCCTCTGTGTTTGTTGTTTGTTGGAGTGTTTGAGTATCCGTAGTGGTGTGTGTGGGATGTTTAGTGTAGTGATTGGTAGATCTAGTTTTGTCCTCTGTGTTTGTTGTTTGTTGGAGTGTTTGAGTATCCGTAGTGGTGTGTGTGGGATGTTTAATGTAGTGGTTGGTAGGTCTAGTGGAGTGTCCTCTGTGTTTATTGTTGTTGGAGTGTTTGAGTATCCGTAGTGGTGTGTGTGGAATGTTTAGTGTAGTGGGTTGGTAGGTCTAGTAGAGTGTCCTCTGTGTTTGTTGTTTGTTGGAGTGTGTGAGTGTTTGTGGTGATTGTTGTAGTGTAATGTATGGGCAGCTGCACCGGCATGGTCCATTTCAAACATTCACGCACACACACGTATCACATCATGAGCATGTATGCTACACACACACACGTATCACATCATGAGTATGTATATTACACACACACGTATCACATCATGAGTGTGTATGCTACACACACACCCGTATCACATCATAAGTATGTATGCCACACACACACGTATCACATCATGAGTATGTATGCTACTCACACACGCCACCCTTATGTACACACATCATATACAAAGGTAGGTACACGTCCACAGTACACGGTAGCCTAACACAGGGGTCACCATGCGACTGTCTACACACACACCAGCACATACCACCCGCTCCGTCAAATTAAACGTCCCCTTTCCCCCACAAAGATACTGCCCCGGGTGTTGCACCCAAACCATCGCCGGCGGAGTCGCCCGAGGGGCTGTACGCAGCTGTGGTGGCCAAGGCCAAAGACTTTGTCATGGGCGTAGTAGACCACTCGGTGTTTGAAGACTTCATCCGCAATCTAATTGGTGTGAAGGCGTATGAGCTGTACTCGCTGGATCGCGCCGTGCACACGCTTGGCAGTCAGGTGAGTGCGTGTGTGCGATTGGTACACGCGCGTGTGTGTATGTAGAGGTTAGTAGAGTGCTAGCGTATGTATATGTGAATTTACCTAGGTTTCGTCATCGTGTGTACGTGTGCACTTTAGTAAGTGTCTATCTTATGCACAGAGCAGTCGTCCTAGGGTGTGTCTATCGAATAGACAGCGATACAATGTGACTAGGGCTCTGAAGTGTTTAACCACACATATGTGTTTGTAAGACGAGCGCACCGGAGGAAGGCTGTGTGGGGACTGTTCAATTAAAACCCGCTGCAGTAAACGATCAATCACAACACTGATCAATAGTATTAGATCAATCACAACACAGAACAATAGTATTTGATCAATCACAACACAGAACAATAGTATTAGATCAATCACAACTCAGAACAATAGTATTAGATCAACCACAACACAGAACAATAGTATTTGATCAATCACAACACAGAACAAATCACAACACAGAACAATA